ATGTCAACATTGAAAGTGAAACAAAGGTGAACCATTTCGTTGACTGATTTGATCCACAAAAACAAATCATTCTTATACAAGTAAAAATGACGATTAACTTTTTTTTTCAATCTATAACATGAAATCAAACAGACCTAGAAAAGTCCAATTGCACGAGGTCGCTATCTATTCATATTTATGTTGATGTTTAGATCGGGTTATGTGACCGTCGGCAGTCTTCGGAGTTCATCTCGATGGTTAATTAGATGGCGTCTAGACTAAAGTACACACGAAATGCTGATATATATATATTATCGAGTCCATGCATTGTTAATTGTTTATTTCAGACTAATTGTAAGTTGGATATACGTTTTAGTATGTTATAAATCAAATATGAGAATTTGAGTTAAATCGGTGAACATGAATTTGACAGCTAATGTCCCTTTAACTTGACATAAATATGCTTCCCTTTTGAAGATGTTTTTAAATTTAAAATAACTACGAAATTTCGTTTTTCAACATTTGCATTATGGTCTATAGTATTTTTCCAGTAAATCCTATATCTACTAATCAAATATTTTTAACCTTTTCAATGTCAAAACTTTTCATATCAACATCAATACATCTTAAAATATATACAATACTAGAATACCAAGATGACTTATTACATTTGTGAGTGTCCATACTTGTGACCAGGGCTTGTTATGTTGCATTATACAATGGATATTCACACCGATAACTGCTGATCAGTTGCATTAGGTTAGCCTTTAAAGCATTGTCACAATGGATATTTTTACCGTTTACAACAGTTCCATGTGTATATGATGTTGTGTTAAGAGTAACTGTATAGGGTTTTGATGTCTGTTGAGGATTAGCACCATGACTTGGGGTCATGCTGTCACAGGCCGAGGATGGTGCTCCATTACGGTTAGCGTATGTCCGATGTTGCAAGCACAGAAAAATCTGTACAATCACAGCAGCTTCCCGTAATCTTCCTTTGTTCATTTTCATTCTCATTTCTAAAAAAAAAAAAAAGAATTACAAAAAAAAAAAAAAAAAAAAATTACACTAAAAACGATCTGATTCAAAAGTAATTTGCAAAAAGAGGTTGTCAAATTGAAAATCTTGCTAAATTTATTTTCTTATCTACATGCATGTCGTTTTCATATTATACTATGAGACAGCAACAGAATACAAATACTGAAAACCCAACAGATACATTGATATGATATCAAACAAAAGACAACTGTTCATACCATATACCATATATATAAAGGAAAGAGTTACATATAAAACCCTTACCCTATGCACAATGATAATTTACAGCTTATTCCGTGTGGATGTCATATAGAACCTTTTCTATGTAAAGATCTAAATCGTCTCGAATCTAGACAAATCATAAATAGATTTAACAGAACTTACCAAAAGTCTGCCATCAACTTAAATCAGAGATAGATTTAACATAACCTACCAAAAGTCTGCCTACAACTTAAATCAGAGATAGATTTAACAGAACCTACCAAAAGTCTGCCATCAACTTAAATCAGAGATAGATTTAACAGAACCTACCAAAAGTCTGCCATCAACATAAATCAGAGATAGATTTAACAGAACCTACCAAAAGTCTACCATCAACTTAAATCAGAGATAGATTTAACAGGACCTACCAAAAGTCTGCCATCAACTTAAATCAGAGATAGATTTAACAGAACCTACCAAAAGTCTGCCATCACCTTAAATCAGAGATAGATTTAACAGAACCTACAAAAAGTCTGCCATCAACTTAAATCAGAGATAGATTTAACAGAACCTACCAAAAGTCTACCATCAACTTAAATCAGAGATAGATTTAACAGAACCTACCAAAAGTCTGCCATCAACTTAAATCAGAGATAGATTTAACAGAACCTACCAAAAGTCTACCATCAACTTAAATCAGAGATAGATTTAACAGAACCTACCAAAAGTCTGCCATCAACTTAAATCAGAGATAGATTTAACAGGACCTACCAAAAGTCTGCCATCAACTTAAATCAGAGATAGATTTAACAGAACCTACCAAAAGTCTGCCATCAACTTAAATCAGAGATAGATTTAACAGAACCTACCAAAAGTCTACCATCAACTTAAATCAGAGATAGATTTAACAGAACCTACCAAAAGTCTGCCATCAACTTAAATCAGAGATAGATTTAACAGAACCTACCAAAAGTCTACCATCAACTTAAATCAGAGATAGATTTAACAGAACCTACCAAAAGTCTACCATCAACTTAAATCAGAGTATAGGAAGACACAGATTTAACAGAACCTACCACAAGTCTGCCATCAATTTAAATCAGAGTATAGGAAGACAATTATTGTTTCTGCTAAATACAAAACTACTGCCTTTGATTAAATGCCATTTTAAGTATTGATTTTTAGTATTTGAAATGGTCAAAGATTCTGACAAGGATTATTACTGCTATAATTTTGGAACATGAGTATTGATATTAACTTGCGATGTGGTATTGGTTTTGCTCATTTTTTAAGACCGTACGTGGACTTATTGTTGCTTACATCAATGTCATTTGGTGTTTAGTGGAAAATTGTCACAACCATACCACATCTGTTTATTTTTGTATTAGTCTTTGTAAAAGAGAGGCAAAAGATACCAAATTGAAATTTAAACTCATAAGTCAAAAACGAACCGAAAATGTCAAGGCAAAAATAAGAAAATTAGAGTAACAGTACACAGAACAAAACATAGAAAACTTAAGACTATTTATCTCGAGAACCCAACCAAAAACCGGTGGTGTTCTCAGGTGACCCGGAAGGGTATGCAGATCCAACTCCACATGTGGCATCCATTGTGTTGCTCATGTAAATACAAAACCGATGATAAGTCTACCTCGGTAAGTCACATTCGAGGAAAAGAGGACGGGAGTGTGGTTACGACAGTTGGAACATATCCGTCATTATCTGTGAAACAGATGTTCCATGACTGCCAACTAGCTCGTTCAACATTCACATTGAAAACTAAAAGAAAGAAGTACTAAAGTATATTTAATTAGTCAGTCGTTTATAACCTTGTATGGAAATCGGAAATCAAAGATACTTACATACCACATGTTATCCTTAAACAAGTCTTAGTCTTAGATACAGAATTTCCATTATTAGTTGTTATTGGCTTTGAACTAGCTATCAGTAACTGCGACTACTCTCAGATCGGTACTTTGTGTCTTGTTTTGTTTTAAGGATGTATAAATGCCCTGCCACATCAGGTCTGTGTTGTTGTTAGATGTTTTTCTGCTTTGTATCGACCTGATGAGTAAGCCCCTATTCAACTTGTTTTTTATAGTTCGATCTTTTGTTGTACTGTTACACAACTGTCCCAGGTTAGGGAAAGGGTTGGCGCCTTCAAACATGTTTACCCCCCCCCCCCCCCCCCACCCCACCCACCCACCCCATTTTGCATGTGTCTGTGCCAAGTCAGGAGCCGGTAGTTCAGTGGTTGCCGTTGGTTCATGTCCGTCATATTTGTTTTTCGTAAATTGTTTTGTTATCAAAATTAATTAGACCGTTGGTTTTCTCGCTTAAATTGTTTCATATTTTTATGTCGGAGTCTTTTACGGCCGACTATATGGTATGTGTTTTTCTAATTTTTGAAGGCCGTGCTATTGCCTATAATTGCTTATATCCATTTCATTAGAATTTTGATAGGTAATTGTCTCATTGGCATCTATATTTATATATATATATCTTTTTAAAGCTTTTCGAAAGCCTTTTCCTATATTTGTCAAACTTAAGTAACAATTTTTATATGACATATCATTTAGACAGAAAAATCTGTTTTCGAAAGTATCGTGACAATTCAGTGAAATTCGCAATATATGTCATATATAGAAACAGTAATACCGTTGAAAAAAATATTATCGATCTTATTTTCCTTTTCTCAACCTTTATTATATGGACGTACTTCAGCGTGGTATAATATTTCTACATTTCTAATCAGTTTTATACATATTATACGTTAACAAGCAATTTTCTTTCTATTTTCAATCTTATTTTTGCTCTCGCCAAAGATAATTTTGAAATAAAGTCGTTCCTCCTGTAATTTCCTTTGCGTGTCAGTCTTACCTTGTAATTATAAATGAAGAAAGTCACCATTCATTCTTATATGGATTTGTCTTTCTATTGTCAATCTTACCTATCTATTGCCAAAGATAAATGTAAAGAAATAAAGCTTTCCGTTCTAACTTCTTCTTTCGTACAGTAGTATTCTGATTTACAATGTTTTCCGGCAAAGTTATTATTAATAAGATCTGAAATAAGATGCTACTCTATGTCATAAAACTAAGGATTACATCTTATAAATAATTGAAACGTTTACAACATTTAAAACGGTTTCAATATCTTGTTTATCGATTTTTACAAATAAACTATCAAGAAATATACAGAAACTGCCTCATTAGGTGTCCTAAAGTTATGACGAAAAATGCGATATATCCTAAGTTAAGAGAGCTTCGATAACACGACTTAGGACAAAAACGTGTTATAAGATGGTCTTAGGACACGTCCTAATCCTAAGATAGCTACGAGAACACCACCCCTGGACTGTATCTAAACAGATTGATATATCAGTCGTTTAAAGAGCTCTTAACAGAATTAACATTCCCATGTTATCTAAATTTGCACTCATACCACATCTTCTTATATCTATCTAAATGTATTTATGATCATTCTAAAAAACCCGATTTTGAATAAAATGTTTTTTAATTGTTTTCCAGATTTCATTTATCCTCTTCTGTTTTTCATACAAATTCAAATATAAAATATTTCGAGGCATAGGCGTTTATTTTAAATATTACTGCAGGTAATTGAGAAAGGACAAACTCGTGTTTTATTGAGGAGAAAATTTGTAACCTTTGTATTCTATTTTATATCTTCTTTATGCAAATTCACTCATTACGGTATTATTTAGCAACATATACATTTAAAGAAATGAATCAGTGAAATGTCAACATAGGCGGATAAAATACTTATATCTTATGCAATAGAATATGATTAAACAGACACAACGGAGGAAGCGATGGGTCGTTATCAAACAACAGGTAAACCACAATTTTGTTTTATGAATGAAGAGGAACACGGAAAAACCTTTTTTCTAATATACGGTATCGATCATTTTATGAATTTCAACAATTAACATTCGCGAATATAATTTAACAAGTTTATTGTTTTTTTAGGCTAATATCAATCGCAATAATCTGAGCATTTGGCATGTAAACTTCAGATGCCGGTGTGAATCGGGTCCGTTATTCTCTGTTAGAACAGCAATACAGGAACAATTCTTAGTATGAGCTTCATCATTTTTTTGCATTGCAACTTAAGTGTTACTGCTCCTATACATCTTTACTGTTGGTTGTTAACCAAATTTTGTCTTTATATGTCGTTTTGTATTATTGCAAATCTAAATCTAAGATTTGAATAATTTAGTTTACAATGTCTGTGGATAAAGATTAATTTTGTATTTTTCTCGCATGTTTAAGCCAGGGTATAAGTCACCAATCTCTGGCAATCAGTCGTAAATGTAATTGATTACAAATCTGCTTACAGCGTTTATAGGGAGTTTGTGCTGTTTGCTCCTAGTCATACATGCATTGCCAACAACTAGATCTCCATTACTGACCAGCATACATCTGACTGACCAGAACTGTACTGACTGTTGTGAATTTCTGCAGTGTACTGAAAAATTTACTGGCAAAATCAACATATCTAATAGTGGAATTCAATTCATTGAAGCAGCTTGCAAGTATGCGATAGTTTTTTAAAAAAAATTATGATATTTACATATCCGTTTCCTTTATGTTATAAAAAGATATTGTATAATTCCACATATAATGCCACTTTTCCATCTCAATAATTAGTAAATCCGACACCGCCTGATAAACTATGAAAGGCATCAGTATAACAAATTACGAAACAATTCAACACAGAAAACCAACGGCCTGATTTAAACTACAGCAATAAACGAAATAAAAAAAAACAATATGACAGACATCAACGAATAGAACCACTTGCTCATGGCGTCTTGTTTGGGTCGGACACGTAGGGAATGTTGCGGAGTAAAAACGATTATGAGGGCGAAAGCTTTCGCTTTCAACCTCTGTAATACAAATATTATTTTGACACACTGTCAAGTTAGCTTACAGTCAACATTTAGTCATGGACATTCACTGTGTGATGTATAACTCTTAGTTGACCAGTAATTACACAAATTCAAAAGTGACACTTGTTTAAAGCAGAAACAATAATAACTTATTTCAGTGAAATGTTCTCCCGAAATAGAAATTAGTTCAATAACAGAAAAAATACTTACTATAAAAAGAATAGTTGAATATTTTGTAATAAGTTAACACATACGCCAATAAGTAAAACGAAAAAATATATTTCAATGAGTAAAACGATAATTCGTGCTTCCTAAGGGCTTGAGTATTTTTTATGAACTTATTCTTTTCAATTTAAAAAAACCGCTTCTGTGGTATCGTAGGAGTATGCTAGCCTATATTGTGGGAGGTCACGGATTAGGATCTTTGCCGGTTCAAATAAAAGTCAAAATTGTTGTTTCTCCGGTAAACACACGGCATTTATGAGTAGAGTTAATTACAACTATTTGTCTCGGAGTCTAAATAATGTGTCCGGCTAGGATAACATGTCTCCGGGTGGGCTGTAACTTTGTTAACAAGCACGTTAAAAATCTGGCTCAGCTTGTCGTTCTGGGGTGCATATGCATATCACATTATACAATTTTCTCTCCCTGATAGGCATGCACTTTTTGTAGCTAGACGATAAACACAAATTCATCCATTTATCAACTATGAAGCAAAGGAACAATACAAAATCTAATCAAATCAAATTAAACAAGGTTTATCAAAATCTGAAATCTAAAATCTTCCTCGGCAAAGTTGACCTTAGATGGATGTGGCTAAATTTTGGGTCTTATTACCCTTCAACTGTGTCGTTTATAATACAGCATTGGCTTTTAAACATCCAGTTTTGATTGTTCCTAATGAAGGAAAATCCTGAAAAGCTTTTCGGATGCATACGATTTATAAAATTTATAAAGGGCTATTATCGTTTTATATACCTGATCATCAGAACTATTTAATTTTCAAATTTGTTTCTATGATTTATCTTTTTAGTGACATGGGGAATCTCCAAATGTTGTCTTGTTATACGCCAGAAAAACTCCAAAGCTGTTCCTACCTTAAGCGCATGTCTTCCTATCTTCCTGCGCAACAGACCATGAAGGAACAGTTGACGGAAATGTGCGCGCACAAAGATGGTCAGTATACCAAAGATATACTAAGATTTGGATGAATTGTGTGGCTTTGGGATGGATCGTGTGGCTCATACTATGAACAAAAGTTTCTTGTGTAGTTTTGTATGGACTTTTTTGACGTCTTTTTCATGCACGATGTCGTCAGTACTCAGTCTTCCAAAACTTGATTGGTTTGATTCTTGATGTTTCGTTCTAATGAATATAAGTATTAATATAATACACAAAAGAAAATTTAGACGTTTCATATTGTTTTATTTTATTACAACTAAAACTACTGACATCATTAAATTAGGCCATTTGTTGTGCCAAACATTTCTCTTTTTATATTTTATAATTTCGCCGTATTATGAATAACACTTCAAAATCGTTGCACAAATCTTAAGATCATCTTAAATCATAGTGTTCAGGAGTTCACATATTGTTAGCCATAGAGTTCAGGAGTTTACATATTGTTAGCCATAGAGTTCAGGAGTTCACATATTGTTAACCATGCAATGTTAGATCTGAAAATTTGACGCAGAAAATTCATGTCTTCCCTCAATGTGATTTGAATTCGAACCCATGCTATTGTAAATCATTTTGCATTCGTCTACACAAACAAATATAAAAAAAGAGATGTGGTGTATGCCAATAAGATAACTATCCACCAAAGACCATAGGACATTTATGCAAGATACAATAGTTCACCGTATGAACTTCAACAACGATGCTCGAACGCTGTATTTTGATATACATGAAGCAAATATTTGCAGACCTAACAATGCTGGGCCAAATTTCGATAACAGTACGTTATCTATTTTGTTTGTTTGCAGATTTCCTTGGACTGGAATCATGCACGGCAGCCAAATCATTTGTGGACAGTTATTCGATCTGTACGGATCCATATGTAGCTGCATTGAGTGATAAAACAGCTGATTTATGTCAGTAAGTCTAGTGATGTGATTTATTTTTTTTTATCATGTTTAATAAGAGGTAGAAGATACCAAGCAAACATTCAAAACTCAGAAGTTGAAGAGAAACTGACAAAACCATTGTAAAATACCGACGAAAAGACAAACAAGTCAACTTTACATAAAAAAAAAAAATAAAAAAAAAAAAAAAAAAAAAAATAATCGGTACATACATACATTTTGTACGTTAACGATAAGCGCATTCATGTAAAACACTGCATTTCTTTGAAATATGTAATTCTGACCACGTGCTTTTTGTTACTATTTCAATAAAAGAGAATGTGTAAAGAGAAAAAAACCTCGCGAAAACACATATGTATACATTTTTTCAGTTTAAAAATCAAATTTAATATATAAATACTGTTTATAGGGTTTACAAGGTCCAGGTGAATTGTACTATTACCTTACTGACCACGACCAACTGTAACTCAGTATATGTGAATACGTATCGCTCGATACAAGAAAAGGAACTAACACAGACATGTGAACTATTGAAATACGTACAGTCTGTGATCGGATAAACGGTTATAGCATATACAATCTCAATAAAAATATTGAAATTCTTCATGCATTGATGTTGCAATTTTGTTAAGTATTTCATTGATTTCTTCAGTCTAAAGCAGAACATATATCTACATGTCTTTTTATGTCATTGAATTTTTGTCTAACCGACGTATTTCCCACTTCCATTTTTATTCATGTTATGACAGTGATATTTTATGATACGGAACTTGGACATAATCTTACAAAAAGATACAAATTTTCACATCAAATGTCAATGATATACCAGTAATCCATTTTCAATCCGGTACCTCTTGTCTGGTACGTCTTTTTGTATTTATTTTTTTTTATCACTTAATATGAAGACATTTATTATGATTCATATGAAGAGCAAGTCCAAAAACATCTAGAAAAATTTCTATGGGTTAATGCTGTTATAGATTTTAACACTAGAGATGTGTAAGGTACAAACGGACACAATTCATTACAAACAGGCTCCTAATGAATTAACAAACGGACACAATTCATTACAAACAGGCTCCTAATGAATTAACAAACGGACATAATACATTACAAACAGGGTCCTAATGAATTAACAAACGGACACAATACATTACAAACAGGCTCCTGATGAATTAACAAACGGACACAATACATTACAAACAGGCTCCTAATGAATTAACAAACGGACACAATACATTACAAACAGGCTCCTAATGAATTATCAAACGGACACAATACATTACAAACAGGCTCCTGATGAATTAACAAACGGACACAATACATTACAAACAGGCTCCTAATGAATTAACAAACGGACACAATACATTACAAACAGGCTCCTGATGAATTAACAAACGGACACAATACATTACAAACAGGGTCCTAATGAATTAACAAACGGACACAACACATTACAAACAGGCTCCTAATGAATTAACAAACGGACACAATACATTACAAACAGGCTCCTAATGAATTAACAAACGGACACACTACATTACAAACAGGCTCCTAATGAATTAACAAACGGACACAATACATTACAAACAGGCTCCTAATGAATTAACAAACGGACACACTACATTACAAACAGGCTCCTAATGAATTAACAAACGGACACAATACATTACAAACAGGCTCCTAATGAATTAACAAACGGACACAATTCATTACAAACAGGCTCCTAATGAATTAACAAACGGACATAATTCATTACAAACAGGCTTCTTATGAATTAACAAAGGGACACAATTCATTACAAACAGGCTCCTAATGAATTAACAAACGGACACAATACATTACAAACAGGCTCCTAATGAATTAACAAACGGACACAACACATTACAAACAGGCTCCTAATGAATTAACAAACGGGCACAATTCATTACAAACAGGCTTCTAATGAATTAACAAACAGACACAAGGCTCCTTATGAATTAACAAACGGACACAATACATTACAAACAGGCTCCTAATGAATTAACAAAAGGACACAATACATTACAAACAGGCTCGTAATGAATTAACAAACGGACACAAGACATTACAAACAGGCTCCTAATGAATTAACAAACGGACACAATACATTACAAACAGGCTCCTAATGAATTAACAAACGGACACAATACATTACAAACAGGCTCCTAATGAATTAACAAACAGACACAAGGCTCCTAATGAATTAACAAACGGACACAATACATTACAAACAGGCTCCTAATGAATTAACAAACGGACACCCTACATTACAAACAGGCTCCTAATGAATTAACAAACGGACACAAGACATTACAAACAGGCTCCTAATGAATTAACAAACGGACACAATACATTAAAAACAGGCTCCTAATGAATTAACAAACGGACACAATACATTACAAACAGACTCCTAATGAATAAATAAACAGACACAAGGCTCCTAATGAATTAACAAACGGACACAATACATTACAAACAGGGTCCTAATGAATTAACAAACGGACACAATACATTACAAACAGGCTCCTAATGAATTAACAAACAGACACAAGGCTCCTAATGAATTAACAAACGGACACAATACATTACAAACAGGCTCCTAATGAATTAACAAACGGACATAATTCATTACAAACAGGCTCCTAATGAATTAACAAACGGACACAATACATTACAAACAGGCTCCTAATGAATTAACAAAAGGACACAATACATTACAAACAGGCTCGTAATGAATTAACAAACGGACATAATACATTACAAACAGGCTCCTAATGAATTAACACACGGACACAATACATTACAAACAGGCTCCTAATGAATTAACAAACGGACACACTTCATTACAAACAGGCTCCTAATGAATTTACAATCAGGCTCCTAATGAATTAACAAACGGACACACTACATTACAAACAGGCTCCTAATGAATTAACGAACGGACACACTACATTACAAACAGGCTCCTAATGAATTAACAAACGGACACAACACATGACAAACAGGCTCCTAATGAATTAACAAACGGACACAACACATTACAAACAGGCTCCTAATGAATTAACAAACGGACACAATACATTACAAACAGGGTCCTAATGAATTAACAAACGGACACAATACATTACAAACAGGGTCCTAATGAATTAACAAACGGACACAATACATTACAAACAGGGTCCTAATGAATTAACAAACGGACACACTACATTACAAACAGGGTCCTAATGAATTAACAAACGGACACACTACATTACAAACAGGGTCCTAATGAATTAACAAACGGACACACTACATTACAAACAGGGTCCTAATGAATTAACAAACGGACACACTACATTACAAACAGGCTCCTAATGAATTAACAAACGGACACAATACATTACAAACAGGCTCCTAATGAATTAACAAACGGACATAATACATTACAATCAGGCTCCTAATGAATTAACAAACGGACACAATACATTACAAACAGGGTCCTAATGAATTAACAAACGGACACACTACATTACAAACAGGGTCCTAATGAATTAACAAACGGACACACTACATTACAAACAGGGTCCTAATGAATTAACAAACGGACACACTACATTACAAACAGGCTCCTAATGAATTAACAAACGGACACACTACATTACAAACAGGCTCCTAATGAATTAACAAACGGACACAATACATTACAAACAGGCTCCTAATGAATTAACAAACGGACATAATACATTACAATCAGGCTCCTAATGAATTAACAAACGGACACACTACATTACAAACAGGGTCCTAATGAATTAACAAACGGACACAATACATTACAAACAGGCTCCTAATGAATTAACAAACGGACACCCTACATTACAAACAGGCTCCTAATGAATTAACAAACGGACACCCTACATTACAAACAGGCTCCTAATGAATTAACAAAAGGAACACTAAGTGCCTTAATTTCCTAAAGACTAAAAATCTTAACGCGTAAATACCTAAGCGCATTATTTTAGAAAACGTTAAACGCGTTTAGATAATAAACGTGTTTTGGCGTTACAAAAAGAAGGAATAAAGTGCGTATGATTGTGTTTAGGATCTAAATGCAATTTGTACAGTGTGTCTACAGGGACATAAAAATTATCTTTGGCCTTTTTGAGTCAACTATCCTTTTCAAGAATTAGTTTTTAACATCGAGACATTGACATCTCTGGATTTTGTTCTTTAAATGATTTGAAAGGCCTGTTTTAATCCATCTATAGTTTTATATGAAGTATATATTTTTTTGTTGTTTGTCCTTTTGTCGGGGTTGTTTGGCCAGGGTGTTGTCAGTTTTTATTTCACTTATGATTTTCGGTTGCTCATTTGGTCTCTTTTTTGTTCTATATTTGGCCTTTTCGAAAAAATACTTCATAAAATATTTTATCGTTTCAATACAATTGAACAATTGAAAAACATCTGACACTGTTCTGAGAAAAAATTGGATTCCATAATATTTTCGAAATAAAAAAGTAATAAATAAATTGTTAGAATGTTGATGCCGGTGCAGTATAGTTCCATCTCACTTCTTTATTCTGTCTGCTGTGTGTGATTCCATTTGTATACTGATTAATGCTGATTGTATATTTGTCCAATAAATATCGTACCTCTCAACAACTGTGGATCTAATGTACAATATATCAAAAGTTATTTAAAATAAAGATAAACATAAACACAATTGATATTTGTTATCATATATGAATACATAAACTAATGCACAAATGTATGTGTACGACAGTAGTTACCATTACCTATTCATAGGGTAACATGAATCAGATAGATTCTACAAACGCGTTAAGTTTGCAAATATTTTTCGAATTTTGCTTTTTTCTCATTCTGTTGACTTTATCAGATATATTTTCGTGTTGCAATGTTTCCAAATTTCGTTGAATGATCATTTTGGCTTCACTATATCATTAGAAGTATTCAAATTTGAATGTAAATCAAATTATCTATTTTACAAGTTAACTTTTCACACTGCTTTCAATTTTATACAATTTTAAGTTGAAACCTTTTAAACATGATTATAAAACATCGTGACCTGATGTTAGATGTATTTCTATTTATATCCATCTGATGAGTTACGCCTTTTTCAACTGATTTTTATAGTTCGTTCTTAATTTGTACTGTTACCACCATTGTCCCATATGATACATAACTTAAAGATGATGATCAACTATCAGAGAGATATTGGACAAGTAGTGGACAAACTAGCTGATATTGCGCATTCAGATGCAAATCGAGGAACACCACATGAACCTAGGCGAGTACGTGGACTAACCAAAGAGAAGTCAAGGAGCCTACATTCAGGAACGTAAAACGTTTTACCAGGAGCTAGAAACAGAATTTAAGTTACTTTAAGTAGCCTAGCCTCCCATTGAGCTCCATCAACTGCCTACATCACAGGGATCATTGATACAGCCCTATGCTCTCGATCATAAAACTTTACTCGAAGTACAATATTTGTGCTCGAAACACCAAAACAAGTATTTTGATTGGCTGATTTTTTAGTCTGGGTAAGATAAACATACTCGAATTGTTATGACCACAAGTCCAA